TGATAAAAGTAATGAATATTTATTAAATAATTATTTATTTTAATATAATTATTATTATTTTAAAGATTTATAAATTTTTTTGAAATAAAAATTTCCAGAGTTTATTATTTTAAAAAAATTTATATTAAAAATATTTAAAGATTTTCGAAGATTTTCGAAGATTTTTTTGGAAATTTTCTGATGTAGCTATATTTATTTAGTCAAAAAATTTGATAAAATATAAAAATAAAATAAAAAAGAACAGTTTTTTAAAAAGAAAATATATTTATTTAATAAACTATATATATTAATAAAAAAAAAATAATAATAAAAATTCCAAGAAAAGTTTATAAAAAAACAACCAATATAAGTTTTTTTTTGTATAATTAAAAAAAAAAAATTCTCAAACTTGCTTTTTCATGATTAAAGATTTTATTTCAATGCACTAATATTTTTTTTTTAGTTTTTTAGAGATTTTTATAATAAGGATTAAAGAAATATAAATAACTTTTAAATATTGAAAAATAAAAAAATATTATATATAAGAAAAGGTTTTTTTTTTATATTGTAATATTTTTTTAAATTGATCAATTTTTAATTTATATATAAGCAATTAACAAATATATTTTCATATTTAACAATACATCACAATAACTCACTTATATCAAATCAATCTTTATATATTATTAATTTATTATCATATATATGAATAAATTACTAAATATATAAAAACATATATGTTTTATTTGGCATGCATTAAACTGCTTTTATAAAAATCCAAAAGAAAAATCATATCATTTTTTTTATTTAGTAGAGTCAAACATGCAATTATTATTATAACTCTTATTACAATATCAGCAAACAAAAATATAATTATATATTATAATAGTTAAGTAGTACTGATAACAATTCATAAAACGATTATAAATTAAAATATTTTGAAATATTTTCAAAATATTGATATTATCAATAGTATTTTCTTTACAATATAATTTCAAAAACTCAAATCCAATAAAATAAAGTTAAAATATATAACAATGATTTCAATAATAATTAAGCAGATTGAATAGTCGAAAAAGCATATCAAGAATAAAAAAAATAGATTGACTTTAAATCAATTAATCATTAGCAACTCAAATGAATATTTTAATAAAATAAAAAAATTTTAGACAATATCTTGGCAAGGATAATTAAGAATATAATTTAAATAAAATATATAGTTAACTGAAAAATGCTAAATTGTAACATCAATATATTGAAACAATGATTTCTTGATTTTTTTTTTGAATAAACAAACTTTTCTTTTCCTTTAATTATTTTTCGAGACCTTAATTGTGTTGTAGACAGGAGTGTTAAATTTGATAGATTTGTACAAATATGATATTAGCACAGGAATAAAAAAAAACAAAAATTATTATATTTAAATTTAACTGAATTCTTTGATAAAAAAAAATGAAAAAATAAAATTACATACAGTACCTGTAATATAAAAGTATTATCGGTTATATAATTATAATCATACTTATAACCAATGATATTATTAATTAAACCATGGGAATTGTATTGTTAAAAATAATTTGAAAATTTCGAAAAAATGATTTTTATAGTACCATACTGTATGTATATTCAATAATATTAGATAATTTTATTCACAGATAATGCATTTCGTTGCTTAATAAGCATCGAATAATAACAAGTGTTGATTTAATTAAAAGTAAAATACCACGATTGCAATTTTTCGGTAAAATCAAAAAAACCGATTTTTATTTTAATATTTGCACAGTCATTAATCTAGCTGTAATGAAAATGGTTTATCGCATGCTTTTTTTATTCTGGAAAATCTTTTTAATTAAAATTTTATATTATTCCGTTCGTTGTTTATCGAAGGGTAAATAAATTATGAATTCGAATTAATGTGCTCCAGGTTGTACAATTCAGTACTTATAGAAGCCATACATTCAAGGCACCATTTTTTCCTGTAAATGCGTATTCACTTAAGAGGAATGCATTGGGATGGAGTTGTTTGTACTGTATACCATTGCGAATTATTTTAATTTCCTACGTGCGACCCGCAGAAAGATTCATTTTTCTTATCATTATCGAAATCTTGATTTTGATCTTGCACTACGTACTGTATACTGTATCAAATAATGTAACTTAAAATGCCAAATTTTTAATACAAAGCAACATGAGATACGATTATATAAAAAACGTTAGGAAAACATTCTTTCTCTATTATTTCTATTAGTACAAGGTAACCTTGAGATGAAATTTCTGCCAGAAAACAATCGGATAAAAGTTATCGCCACGTGGTTGCAAGGATGTGAATCGCATCTTAAACAAAGAACACAATTGTACGTGTTTGATGTTATGAAAGAACTTGGACTTACCATATATCGTAAAGTTCATAGAAATTCTTTGGATAGTCCTACTATCTTGTCTGCGCCAACGTTATGATGAAACGAGATTTTCTAAAAATTGTAATATGAAACATGAAATTGGAATTTTAAACGAAACGTGGGATTGCATTGCATACAGTATCATATTCATGATCGTATGATAAGACAGATTCTCATTGCTTTTCTCTTACACTCTTCAAAACGTTGATGTAAAATAAGAAGCACAGTTTCTCCTGTTGGAAGTCGGTTTCACTTACTGGAAGTATATAAACAGCCTGCAATGGAAGAGATTGTTGGTTAATGCCTTTCGAGTCATATGTTTGTCAAATTGAAACAATATTAACGAAAAATGTTTTTCTCGTCTTCACGAATTTTTTTATTGGCTCGATTGTACGCATGTGATAAAAATTATTTATCAGTTGATTCCGTTTCCAAAATAATAAGTCTCCGAACAATTCTTCCGCAAGTATAATCGAATGAAACGCATTCACCAGATGGTTTGTCCGAGAAACTGACTTTCATAAGAATTAGGTTAGTAAGTACCATCGGAGCCTTTTTGATATGATGTATTTCTTCCTTTCATATTCGTAGGAACCTTAATACTGTAGTTATTAGTATACCGATTAACCAGGGGATAATTAACCATGAGATATACAGTATATTGTATGTATGAATAAGCAACTAATGTGATATACAGTACACCGAGTATAATCAAAGGGTACTGCATATATTTTTAATGACCCTTAATTAATTAGATTTTTGTGGGTAATATTGAGTTCAATGAACCACATGGTTGCCGGTGTAAACATCGTCAAGATGAATATCTGTTATGGGAATTTTGTGGTAGTGGGGTTCATGGAAAAATCTCCATTGTGTAAGTTTTATTAAAGGTAAATCGATCCAATAATGATGAATCGATTTCGGGAAAAAGTTAAACTTGGAATTTCGTGTGGCGTACAACGATTGCCTTTAAATTGCCATTTCCAATAAAGGCAAAATATAAATTAAAATTTTCGCATTTCTGCCTGACTGTTTATTTTTTGTGTAATGAAAATTTTTAATATGAATTTGTCAATTCTTTACGATGTATTTATCCACGATCGGATATTGAATTGTTGTTTATTCGATTTAACACGATAAGAAACTTTCATCAAACCGAACTAGCAAAAAAGGTTTTCTTCGGAAATACTGTACTTGATACATACGTACAATGTAATTCGGTACCTTGGAGTTTCCAAGAATTCGAGGTTATAGGCAGGTCATGAATTATGAATTGCATCTTGAGATGCTTGTCATTTTATTTTTCTTGAGCATTCAGACGGCGATAACATAATTAATAAAATTCTAATCAACATTGTGGATTTCTGACATGCATAGAAAAAAATTTTTTTTTTTTTTTTTTTTTTTTCGCACCTCATGGATAATTATATAACTATTTTTTTATTACGAGAGGTAAATATTTAGGGATTGCGGTTAGCAAGCAGACTAATAGGATCTTATCAAAAAAAATTGTTCAATTTAGGCTAATGCGTTGTTAAGTACCAATGATCACTGTCAAGATATAATTACCGTCAGATCGATGTGTCAAAAATCCGAACTCTGACCATAAGCACCATAAAAAAACCATAAAAGAAATTTGCAGCAGGTTGTACAAATGTAGGACCGCACTAGTTGGCTTTAGTCTATGTGCACGTTCCCGATCCGACAAATCAACCAATATTACCGCCAAGTATCTTTTACATCCGATTACTATAAAAGGTCGATAAACAAAGATCATTAACCATTATGGCAAAAACTAACGTCGTGCTTTCTCGAACAATTTAAATTGCCTATTTTGTGACACACAAGTGATACACTTTCACTACTAATGTGGCAGTTTAATTAGTAAAACCTTATACAGACCCTATGAAATGTCGTAGCTTTTTAATCATCCATTGTCTTTGTTTACTCTCTAATCTATCCCTCTTTTCCTCTTCTTTTACCTCATTCTTTTAATTAATACATTACTTTGCATATATTTTTTTAACACACCCTTTCTCTCCTTCATTAAACCCTTCCTTTACGGTATATACATTTACCATCTTTCCATTTGATTTAGAGCCTCAAATTTCATTCATTCTATCAGTTTGTGAGAAGGACCCAAAAATCTCTTTTTTATGCCTCCAGTCGAATTTACCATTGTCTAGTATTTCTGCTACGAATAAATGATAGATTAATAAAGACTTTCCTTGCATAATAAATGTTTAGAAACGATATCTTTTAGAAGTTTATTTTTACCACGACGCTCTAAATCTCATCCTACATTCCCAATCAACACATTTTCTCTACATTATCATTATCAAATAAAAAAAATAAAAAAAAAATTTTTTTCCCAACGGATTCATGCAGAATTCATCATTACTTACATCCCTAGCCATACCAGATACACCTTTGGTCACTAGGATTATATGGTCCTTTTGTGCATGAACAATTTTTTTTTTTTTTTAGATATTCATTCACACGCATACATCATTTTCTTAAACAATCACCAAATTCAATCCTACAGAAAACATAACTTAATCACAGGAGAATCTAAGAAGAGGAAAACAAATCAATCACTATTAACACAAGTTCACAAGAATGATGAAGCCTTTATCTATAATATGGCTATTAGTGATCAGCGTGAGCTTAGTGTGGGTTTTGTGCGTGCAATTGAGCGCTAGTGCTGGAATAATAGCTTCGGGTGACGGAGCAATTATTGGTGGGCAGGACTCACCTGACAAACTTTATAGACCGAGACAGAATATAGTGGTGGTCAAGAGAGATAGCACTGATCCTTCAAGTACTGAGGGTGCTAGCGCAAATCCAGATAGTGCTGATAACACAAAGCCAAAAACGAAAGATAATACTGATCCTAAGAATGATAACACAAGTCCAACGGAAGATACCGCAAGCCCAACGAGCAATAAAAATGAAAAAAGTCAAAAGAGTGATAATACCAATCCTCAGGATGATAACACAAGTCCAACGGAAGATACCGCGAGCCCAACGAGCATTAAAGATAAAAAAATTCAAACGAATGATAATACTTATCCTCAGGATGATAACACAAGTCCAACGGAAGATACCGCGAGCCCAACGAGCATTAAAGATAAAAAAATTCAAACGAATGATAATACTTATCCTCAGGATGATAACACAAGTCCAACAGAAGATGCCGCAAGCCCAACGAGCATTAAAAATGAAAAAAGTCAAAAGAGTGATAATACCAATCCTCTGGATGACAACACAAGTCCAACAGAAGATGCCACAAGCCCAACGAGCACTAAAGATAAAAAGATTCAAACTAAGGATAGCACAGAATCAACGGATAGTATAAGCATTGAGGATACTGTTTCAACGAAAGATAACACAGGCCCAACAAGCACTGATGATAGCACAAGCCCGACAAGTACTGATGACGCAAACACGAAGGGCGCTAAAAACAAAAAAATTCAAACGAGTGATAGCGCAGATAATGCAAATCCAACGGATATCACAGGCC